TGAAAACTCTCCATTCACCCAAGAGCACTCTGGCAGATCCAGCCGACTCGCCTCGGCTATAAATAATACATTAGATCTAAAATATTAAGACTCTCCGCTCTATTCTGCTTTCAGTCTTGTCTGACTGATTGTCTGTCCATCTGTCTCCCTGTCTCACTTCCATCATTCTTCTCCCTCTTTTTGACAAAAGACTTTAAGAGCGTGCGGGGCGGACGACACGTTGTCTTAAACCCGCTTCAGTGACTTTGTCTTCTACGTCCACACACAAAGTTGAAATCACAGAAAACACTGAAGGTAGATTATTAAGGTTTCATCAAAAAATACTTAATTCATGCTTCAAGTCCAGTGTCTCATCCTTCGTTCTGAGTTTAGATAAATTCACCTGCTGCCACGACGACCTAATGATGTTTTTTCATTTCAATTCAGTTATTCTTATGTTACATTTAGTAGATTTCAGCTGAGGACACGCATTAAGAGCAGCTCCCTGCACATCTGCATCATCTGGACCTTCGTTGTTTTGTTGTAACGTCTCAGTTTGACAGACGCCGTCTCTCTGCCTCGTTCAGACGCCGTTGAGCTGATTATGTGGGGCCACGCCTGGCTGCAACAAGGGCTTAATCAAATCAGTTTGCAGGTGGATCAATTGAAAAACCCTCCGTGTTGACAAGTGTTTGCTCTGACAGGAATAATGCAAACCGTGGCCCATGAGCTGCAAGCTAATGCCTCAGATCAGATGAATATGGCCGAGAGGGAGCGGGTTCCAATTCCTCATTTAAGTACGTGACTTTTACTGCTTCATTATTTTCTTCGTGCTCTAATGCTGCGTTCACAGTAAACACACGGAGATTTGAGCATCTCTTTTAGTTAACAAACCTTTGCCCTCTGTTCACTTCCAATCCGTGTGAGCGAGGATGCGAATAAGATATTTGCTTCCTGTGGTGAAGCAAATCTTCAGCGTGGAGTTCGGCTTTGGTGAAATTTGACCTGTGATATGACCCACGCCTCTGTGTGTGTGTGTGTGTGTGTGTGTGGAGGTCGGATTCTTTATGAAAGTAAAAAGAATCGCTGCTGAGGGTTCTATAGTTTTCAGTGAATCTGTTTTTATCAGTCAAGCACCTTTCAGATCTCTCTCTCCGGCCTGCAGCTTCACTGCACTCTGATCTTTTCCTTTGCAACACTTCACATTCAGGACGAGGAAAAAAAAAACCTTCCTCCCTGATGCCCGAGCTGAAGAAGCTGGAGTGAAGGTAAAAGGTCGTCAGGACGAAATCACCCCTCAAGTTATATTTGTTCACTTCCTTGAGCTGAGACACGTTTTTTATTGAACAGCAAAGACGGAGGCTGAGCGGCTTCCTCACATCTTCATCTATGAAGAGTCGAGGTGAGCAGGGGAGGTGATGTTAGAGTCTTCAGACCGTCTGCTCCTGTTTGTACGGAACAATCTTTATGTTTATTCAAGTGAAAAGTCCACAGATGAGAGATCCTGCACGAAGGACACAAACTGATTTATACAGGAAATTAAGGATTTAGCGAAAAAAACAAAAAAACCAATGAGATCAAACTTTAGTCAGAGTCTTAAATATCTGGACAAAGTTTCACTCAAAAATGTTCTCACCATCGGTTCACCAGTGTAACAGCAGCAGCATCAGTCACCTCAGGATTTTATTCCCACTGCAAAGCAAAGAAAAAATCACCGACAGGAAAACTAAGCTGCATGAAGTGAGTGACAGTGAACGCACAGTCGCTCAGCGGCCGCTGAGCATGAAACTTTTACCGTGTTAGAGGTTAATGAGATTTTCAAACCGTGGCTCGTTCAGAGAAATGTTCTGTGTGCGTCTGAATTTGCCTCATGGTCAGTTACATGTCTGCTGTTCCCTGAGACTTGTTGCGTTAAGTCAACGCTTCAGTTCAGTAATGCAGGAAATGTGAAGGTCGTCAGGGCAGGACAGCACACGGCTGATGAGCTGCTGTCGGACCTGGAGTCCACACAGTTTCCGAAAGTTCTCTGGAGGTGAGAAGTCAAATCAGATGTCTGAAAGAGAGTTCAGGAAAACTCACAGCGAGCGAGCGAATTGAGAACGTGAAACAGGAGCCATTGAATGCTTTGGATATTTTTTTCAGTTTTTGTGAACGACAATCTCCTGCTGCTTCTTTATATCTGAAACACCGAATATAACCTGTTGTA